GCATTACCCTGTTGCTAGAGTTGGGCATAAGATTATCCGACCTGTGAAAATTGCTCAATTCAAATCGTCCGTGTCTATTTGGACAGTTTTGCATAATTGTTAAAGTCAGATGCGATTTAGGATTTTCCTGTTTTGCGAGTTGCAGGCGGGTTGCAGGTTTTATCCGCACTCGTACTTACCCACCTATATCTATATACAAATTTTTTTTTTAAATCTAGACCATCAAATTTTCTTGTAAGTTTTGTAAGTGTGTAACCATAATCTTCTCTTCTCTCACTCACTCACTTTAATCTGATTATCAAATCTATAGGTTTTAACATTACAACATTATAATAATATCATATACTGCTTTGTTTAAAATACATATTATTCAATTGATTTTTTTTTCAATTTTTTACAAATCTAGTTATGTGATGTTTCTCTTTCTATGTTAATTTTTATTTAATTTTCATTCTAATTTTTTTGGTAATCCAGTTTTAATGGAGGATAGTGTTGAATCTCCCACAATCAAAATTATTTAAAAAATGGAAAACACCAAGCCGAAAAATAATTTTTTAAAAAAAAAACTCAATCCACAAACTGTCCGCATATCCGCGAACTCTATCCACACAACCGCAACTTGCATTGTGAGCAGTTGCGGGTTCAATTTTCTCCAAATTGTAGACATGCAAGGTCCAAACCGCAAACTGAATCGTCAAAAATCGATTCGCGAGCACCTTTACCTGTCACTTAATATGCTGGACAAGTTGATCATCAAATTGCCTAAACAAACTCTCTGACAACATGAACAATGTGACCAGACCCAGCCAAGCAACATTCATTTGAACACACAGCTCGAACCACATTAAGTGAATCCTCCTCAAACCAAACTGGACGAAGCCCCAAATCTGTAGCAACCACAGCGGCATAATACAATGCTAATGCTTCCATGCTATCCACCTCAACGAAGCTGGCTAGTGGCATTGACATTGACTCAATTTCCTCACCCCTACAGTTGCTGATAACAACACCAACTCCCATAGCCCTACGATCCTCACAGGCCTAGCACAATTTCAATACTACAACTTGTATTCTAATTAGGAAAGTAACCAATCAACCACTAACCATATAGCAACTTCAAGGTCCCCATCTATCTAAACTTCATTTTACTCCAACAGCACTTTTTTTAATTGGATTTGCTATGAGAAAATTAGTAGATACTTCCTAATCTCGAAATATTATGTATTATTGTGTACTCTTTGATTAATAAAAAATTGTAACAAATATAAAGTATGCCATCATTTATCATTTAATTACTTAACAAAGATAAATTAACATATCGTTGTGTAAGATTTTCTATTATGTACTTGATTTAGAGCATTTCGAAAAGTAATTTCATATGATGTCACTGGACTAAACTGTGATCTAAACAAGAATTTTAGTTTACTTTTTTGTTGAGAAATATAAAGCCAGTCCTATCTGGACTTTATAGATTATGAGGAAAGCTGACTCTTGATTTATTTGCAAGGAAATTTCAATCAAATAGCTTACTAAGCTTCTGTTTCTGGTTTGTGTCCCTAGACTTCTTTAATCGATCAAAACACACACACACACACACACACAAAAGAAAAAAGAAAAAACATACATTGAGAGACTAATGATAAGACATTCTAGTTGATTGATAACAAAGAAAAGTATTTAATTACTGTTGGACTTTTACTTTATAAACTACCCACTAAGCCCAATATATTATTCGATTATACTAATAATATATTATTTGATTAACTAATCACCGACAGTGATGAATGTAAAATAGTCCTTCCAAATAGCTTCTTTGTTTTGTTACATTTTATTTTATTTATTATGAGTAATAAACTTATCGTTAAAATTGAGAATCAAGCTTATCTCCCGGCAATGGGAGGCTCAACTATTTTTGTCTATAGATTTATCTCAGGCTCATATTTTTTTATTTTTTTATTTTATAGAAATGAGACTTATTTTGATAATTTAAATAGTTTAATTTGTAAAACTTGTTAAGTAAATTATTTATGTAAAAAAATCAAATTGATTTAATATTAATAACTATATGACCGGCTTATATTTGTATGAAAAAAAAGACGATCTATTTTCAAAATTACATCTTTCTTTTTTTTTTTTTTTTTTTTAAATGTTTTTGAATTAGGTAGTTTCACTTGCACCCAGCACATTTCACAACAGTGAGATCGGTGGAGCTAACCTTGATTGTTGTCTTGAGTGGTTGGTGAGTATACTCCCTACACAATTATTCAAGATTTAACTGTTGAGTCCAGGCAACAAGAAATAAATATCTTGTGAATTTCCTAATTCCGATGTGAATAACTTGCCTTTGACTGGATCGGGAAGGGAATTAATTGAGATGTGCATAAACTGGCCTAGACACCTAGAACCTCCAAAAAAAAAAAAAAAAGGATTTGTCAATCATTTGCACTAGGTTGGACTTTAGAGAGATTTTTTATATTAATCATACACTGTTTGTTAACCATAATCTGCAGGAAAAAAAAATTGCGGAAAAAAATCTGTTTAAAAAAAAATCTCTCAAAAGAAAAAATCTCTCTCATTTGTAATTTTGCACTATGTTGAAGCACAAAAAAAAAAAAAAAAAAAAATTCAAAAACTGTCTTATTTTGTTTTTAATTATTAATGAATTTTATTAATGGTGAAGTATAAATAAATTCCAAAATGCAACTTCCACACCAATATATCACAGAGAAAATTAACTCTCTCAAGTCAATCCTTTTTTTTTTTTTCTGTTTGTCTAAACTCTGTCTTCTTCGCGGAAGCAGATCTTGAGTTAGACCGTGCCATTTGGTTTGGGTGTCCAAGCTGGTAAATATGGAGATTCAGGTTCCATTGTTCCAGGTCGGTAGTTCCGCCATGCATGGTAGTGGTCCAGCGGTGCTGTTGATTTCCGTTCCCGCGCGAGGTGAGGCGTGGGTTTATTCCTACACATGCTAGCTGGTTGATGGCACCGTAGAAGACGATCCTTCTTTCTTGGGCTCAGTCAATCGCCAGTGGAATTCATAAATGCTTTGGTTGAATCTCAAAGTAGGGATCTGAAGCTTGTAGTAGGGGAAACAAGTCGTAGTGCCGAAAAAAGTTCAGATTTCTTCAATCAACCATGGTAAGCTCATCTGCTACTTGCTACTGATTAAGTTTGTGATTGGTACTTTCTTATATAGGAGTCATGATTATTTATTTATTTATTTTGTGTGGATTAAACAGGGTTGAAGATGTTGTTATTCATTATCTGAATCACAAGCCAGTTACAGATGGTCCTGCAGGCACATGAACTAGGGATCATGGAGATAAATTCAGAATTTCTCTGGGGATAAATTCCGAAGTCAGAGAAATTTGGTTAAACACATTCCGAAGTTAGAGAAATTCAAAATTTCTCTGGAGCAAGGTCAATGGAAACAAGACAACCTTTTAATTTCCATCTGAACTGCAAATGATGGTTTATGGAAGCAAAAACAAAAGAATGCATGATAAATAGAACAAAGCAAATACTTTCAATATATACATGAATATGATATGACGCAAGAAGAAATATGACAACTAGTAAGAAATTTGGGAAGCAAAAAGGTCTAAGAAAGCAGATATGACACAAAACTTTAGGTGAGAAGATTGAAGAAACTAGAAAGCAGTGTTGTTAATTATTATACGAAGGGCTCAAGAAAGCTTATTCAGAACTGCATTGTTTCACTAATGTTTCTATAACAATTCAAGCAGCAATTCCTATGCCTGTTCGTAACATTTCCTAAATAATTCCAATCAAATTTTTTAGAAAACTCATTTCCAACCATGGACAGGTTACTAATATGGTTCAAAACACAACCCAGTGTTCAATTGATGACCAAAAAACATTTTTTTATTCAGGATGGAGAGAAATTCCGAAGTGCGGAGAAAATTGTTCAAAACACAGAGAATCCAAAGAAATTCAAAATTTCTCTGGAGAGAAATTCCGAAGTCCAAAGAAATTTGGTTAAAACACAATAGAGAATCCAGAGAAATTCCGAAGTCCAAAGAAATTTCCAGAAATTCTCTGGTTGAATTTTCTCTGGATTGAATTTTCTCTGGTTGAATTTTCTCTGGATCGAATTTTCTCTGGATTGATGTTGAGGGACCTTAGACATTATAAAAATATTGAGTGTCCTTTATGCTATAAAATCATAATACTAGGGACCTTAAAAAAAAATCCCTATTTTTTATATTTATTATATATATATATAATTTGTTTATGTTGAAATTTTAAAGAACTTGCCAAATTGACATTACTTTCTCTATTCACCATTTATTTGAGAATTTCCATTGTTTTTTCATTCTCATTGTTAGCCTAGTCTTTTGACTTGGCACCTTGTCTATATTCATATAACTCGACAAGTAGAATAAATTCCCACAAATTATGGTACAATGATTCTTTTTCTTTAATTTTTTTTTTGAACTGTTTAGTAAACATAGCCGTCATCTCAGACTCTAAATCAAACTCAGTCTCCGGAGTTTTTGCAGTCTCATGATTCCCTCCAATTATGGGCCCACAATGACCCAAGCACTTAATATGCTTTTGTGGGCCAACGTCGTTTGACTTATATGAAGAGGGCCCATGAAGCACATTCTAAAATTTGGCAGCTACAACTACAAGAAAAGTTTGGATCTTCCAATTTCCATTGACAACTTGGAATGTTAATCAAAGTTCAAAAATATTCCGTTCAAAAATATTCCATTTTTTTTTTTTTTATGTTTGGGGTTCTCTTTTTAATTTTTATTTATTTATTTATTTACTATTTTAATAATGATGTGGTCATATGTGATCCTGTAATTTTAAGACAAAACACTCATTATTGTAATTCAGAGATACAAAAAAGATTCATCAATTATTCTCCCAGTGATAAAAAAAAAGTCTTATACATTAACAAATTCTGATTAGACACAAAATTATCAACCAAAAAAAAAAAAAAAGAAAAGAAAAGAAAAGAAACACAAAATTGGCATGAAACACTTCATTTAATCAAATATCATTATGAAATCGGTGATAAAAAAAAATATATTATGAATTAAAAGATTGCAAGAGTTCTAAACTATGGTCATTATTAGAGAAAGAACAAACTAAGAAATTTAAACATTTAGCTTGATTTTGTGCCATAAAGATCGGAGTAATCATACCCACATGAAGATCTATGTATGAATATATATGATCATGAATCAGATACTAGAAGTGCATCCCAGATCATGTCCATGTCCAAGGAAGGCATTCTACTTAGTTGAACAGCATCAACATCTGACAACACTTCTTGATGAGTCTTTCTATTCTCAATCATAATCTCAGATCCAACTTTACTTTCCAACTCAAATTGCCACTCTCTTCTTGTTGTGTTCTGATTTAAACCTTTGATTACTCTTGAGCTCTCAACCAAGTCTTTATTTGGTGATGTTGGTTGTGGATGAAGATCTGTGCCCTTCTTATTAGCATTTATTGCTTGTAATTTGGCTTCAAGAAGCGCAGCGGTTGCACCATTAGCAGAATTGGCCTTGAGTTGATTTTTTAGCTCTGGAAAGTTCAAATGTGCATAGTCTCCTCTTAAAATGTACGCCGCTGTGTCATATGCAAAAGCAGCTTCCTCTGCAGTTTCGAAAGTCCCAAGCCAAACCCTTGTTCTATTTCTTGGTAGCCTAATCTCAGCAACCCATTTTCCCCAATGCCTTTGTCTCACCCCTCTAAACACCTTTCCTTGGGATGATGATGATGGTGGTGGTGGTGACAGGCCTGCCTTTTGGTGGTAGTGATGTGGCTGCAGCAATTTTCTTCCAGTGTGCTTCATGGGCTGAGTCTTGGTGGTGCTCAGCCAGTAGTCACTGAACCCTTTTGAAGTGTAATTTGACAAGTTGTGATTGATCTTGAGCCATTCATTGCCAAGGTGGGGCATGGAAAATGAGGGGTTTGGTGAAGATGACATGGGCTCACAATTTTGGCTCTTCCCAAGTGATTTTGTGGCTCTTGCTGATATGTCCAAGATGGCTGGTTCCTGCAAAAACAAACCAAGCTTTGGGTATTTTGACGCGGTTGATGATGGTGAAGTGGGTGAAGATGGTTCAGGTATTTGAGCATAGCTCAGCTCGGGGAAAGATTTCAAGAAGTTTACAGGAATGTAGGTGTCTTTTGGATTTGAACCAGAAGCTCCATTTGAGTCAACAATATCCAATCCACCCATGAATGGATGCGAATGGTTGACATTAGTACTCAAAGTGGCTGCAAAATCTTCTGCTGAAGAATTTGACTCTGGGCTCGAAAACAATCTATCGGGTGAGGATGGTGACGATGATTTAAGATTACTGCCACCACCACCACCACGACAAACAGGCTCATCGGCTGATCCCCAAACATTGACATCAGCAAAAAGGCTTGATGATCCCATTCCATTAATAGACAATGGCAATTCACTTTGAAGGAAGGTTTCCATCTTGAGAAACTGATTTTCCATGCCAAGGGTGAAGAAGAATTAGAGAGAAGAGAGATAGAAATGAAATGACACAAATGAAGCTTTTATATATTAGGAGATGAGATGAGAGGCTGAGAGAGAGAGGTATGATTCAAGTTTCATTTGAAAATTTAAAAAGACCTACTTCGTGTTCACAAGACCTGAGTCAGATCTGCTTGTTTTCATCATCACCTTCAAGGATTCAACTATTCCACGCATTCGTGCTTCCCATCCTCTAATGCTCTGTCATTAATTAACCAATCAGAAACTGACAGGTCATCCCTTGTATGCTTACCTGTCTGTCTTCTAAGGTTTGCAAAAGTTGGGTGAATATTCTTCTCAGGACAGTGACCACAAGAACCCCAAAATCTTTGCTTTACTTTGATCACATTGGTGGTGTTTGGTGTAGCTGTTAAAACAGATTATAGATTATAGCTTAACAGATTATAGATTATGACTTTAATCAGAAGCGGTTAATCTGTTTGGTATAGCTGTTGGATTATAGATTTAAGTTGCTGAGTAGTGTTTGTTAAATAAGCTGTGAAGTAGCTTTTTCAATTAATTTTTATTTTTTATTATTCACTATTTGTCTACATTTTTCATAAAAAATAATAATAATATTTAATAGTCCATTTGAGTCTTTTTCTATTTTTAAAAAAATAAAAAATAAAAAAATCTAAGAGTATAACCGTGAATTAACATGTCCACAGCAGAAACTGATAATCAGAAGCAAGGGGTGAGCAGCTTCTCAGAATCAGCTTTTTTGACTTAAAATAAGTTGTTAGAATCAGAAGCTGTTTGAAATAAGTTTAACCAAACAGTCCAAAATAACTTTTTAAAAGCCAGAAGCCATAAGTTGGCTTAAAAAAGCTGCACCAAACACCCCCATTATGTGGTGCTACTTTTTTTCTCTGTTATTTTATTTTATTTTAATTTAGTTTTATTAATGATCATGTGAGTTTCTCAAACACCCACATATTCTTTTGCCCTTTTTACTTTCCTATTTCCTAATTGAATTTAATATGATGATCAGACTTGTTAATAGGAGATAGGTCCCTTTTCTTTAAGTACTAATGCCATCATTCATCTTAGGAAAATTGGTTGTAGAGAAACAACAAAAAAAAATTAAGTAATATTTGTCAGGCTTAAATACACTTGCATAAACCTTTTGAATATGTCAATTTGATCCAAAATTTTATATGTGTCTTCATTTGCCACCCAAAATTAATAACCCAACATGGAATGAAAATGTCCGATATACCCTTAGTCTTTAAGATAAAATATTTAAAATTCCCCCGTATTGTTATTAATTTGGATAGCATCAAGTTTTTCTTTTTGGACAAAGATAGTGTTAAGTTTGTAGACCAAGTAAAAATACATATTTTTTATTTAAAAAAATTAAATTGACATAATTAAAAAGTTCAAAATTAACATGACACAAATTGCATATTTCATAACTAAAAGTATTGTTTATTAATTAATAATTACTAAGAGATTTCTATATCTTAAGACAAAGATGTGGTCCATCTAATCATTGGTCCTGATTTACCGGTAATCAGATGGAAAGACCCCATTATTGTAATTAGCAAAGCTTAACTATCAACATTGTCATCGACTTACTATCTAAAAAAAAACATTATCATCAACTTTATTATTAGTTTTAAACAGGGCTTGACTCTCTTTTTCTAAAAAGAATAAAAATTTGTTCCACAGGGATGAGAAAATCATTGCTGTCTTTTCTAGATCAAGTATAAAGAAAAGCCCCACCCTCCAAGGCCATGAACACAGTAATGCCTTATTTGGCTTTTCTTCTTGCAGCTCTAAGTACTTTTTGGGAGGAAAATCATTGGATACTCTAGGTATTATATATATTTGGGGATTAAATGTTTTAGTTAAAAAAATTATAAAGTTATTACAAATTGTTAAATTATTTTTTCTAATTTTTTTGCACGCCTATAAAAAGTTTTTTTTTTTAAAAAAAAAAAATCACTAATAATTTCTCTAACAAGTTCTATGCAATATTATTGTTTATGTAGTATTTTTGGTTGATGGAAAATTGCAACAACTGTTAAATAAGATTTTTTTTGGTCTCTCAATCTGAGATTTAAACAATTACCTAACAATTATGAGTTAAGATATCCCACTAGGTAAAATTTTGGTTACAAAATTTGTTTGGAACACTATGTAAGTAATGCTACATGGTCTTTGCGTTTCAAAACTACTCAATAATTACTTCTTTTATGATGGGTTTGGAGACTTTTCCCAACTCATTAGTTCAAACAAGAAAATATGAAAAGTTATTGAATTGTTGATCATCAATTAGAAATAATTTTATTATTTATATTCTCAATCTGCTTTTTTACATGTGATTAAATTCTCCTTCCTAATCAATCAAATACATACAAATATTTTAATTATCGAATTGACAATCAAATTCAAACACAATTTTTTTATTTTTTTATCTCCTCTAACCATCTCATCTAAAAAATGAAGTTCTTTAAAAAATAATAACTGCATTATTTATATTCTTACCAAAAGTGAAGGCGACTCTACGGGCCACATCCACCTCACAGTTTGAGCCCCAACCAAATGATTAGGATCCCATTATTAGTAGTTATTGTTTGCTTGCAGTCATCTCAAGCTAGCTCTCTTGGTTCAAAACAACTCATATGTTTTTCTAGGAAATACTTTCAAAAGAAGGTGTGTGTGTGTGTGTGTGTGTGTGAGAGAGAGAGAGAGAGAGAAAGATTCCCAAGAGCGAAGAGTCTAGAGTAAAGAGTCTCTTTATTCCACTTTGTCAGAGTTAAGTTATTCTATATATGTATTATATGACCAAGTTCTTCCAACCTTGCTGTTGTTTTTGGATTGTTATTTTATAGAGGTAGCACATGGTATGGTACTGGCTAATATGCCTCTCTTATTTAACCTGGCTGTTTTGAAGATTAGAAAGCAAGCATATGAGGCCATGTTTCTCAAAGTCGAAACAAGTTCTATGCAATATTATTGTTTATGTAGTATTTTTGGTTGATGCAAAATTACAACAACTGTTAAATAAGATTTTTTTGGTCTCTCAATCTGAGATTTAAACAATTACCTAACAATTATGAGTTAAGATATCCCACTAAGTAAAATTTTCGTTACCAAATTTGTTTGGAACACTATGTAAGTAATGCTACATGGTCCTTGCGTTTCAAAACTACTGAATAATTACTTCTTTTATGATGGGTTTGGAGACGTTTTCCCAACTCATTAGTTCAAACAAAAAAATATGAAAAGTTATTGAATTGTTGATCATCAATGAGAAATAATTTTATTATTTATATTCTCAATATGCTTTTTTACATGTGATTAAAGTCTCCATCCTAATTAATCAAACACATACAAATATTTTAATTATCAAATTGACAATCAAATTCAAACATAATTTTTTTTTTTTTTTTTATCTCCTCTATAACCATCTCATCTAAAAAATGAAGTTCTTTAAAAAATAATAACTGCATTATTTATATTCTTACCAAAAGTGAAGGCGACTCTACGGGCCACATCCACCTCACAGTTTGAGCCCCAACCAAATGATTAGGATCCCATTATTAGTAGTTATTGTTTGCTTGCAGTCATCTCAAGCTAGCTCTCTTGGTTCAAAACAACTCATATGTTTTTCTAGGAAATACTTTCAAAAGAAGGTGTGTGTGTGTGTGTGTGTGTGTGAGAGAGAGAGAGAGAGAGAGAGAGAGAGAGAGAGAGAGAGAGATTCCCAAGAGCGAAGAGTCTAGAGTAAAGAGTCCCTTTATTCCACTTTGTCAGAGTTAAGTTATTCTATATATGTATTATATGACCAAGTTCTTCCAACCTTGCTGTTGTTTTTGGATTGTTATTTTATAGAGGTAGCACATGGTATGGTACTGGCTAATATGCCTCTCTTATTTAACCTGGCTGTTTTGAAGATTAGAAAGCAAGCATATGAGGCCATGTTTCTCAAAGTCGCTTTTTTTTTTTTTTATTCTGCTTTTGTTTCCTTGTCAAACATACACTTCTTTATTCCTTGTGTGCTTTCAGGCCTCAAAACACAACAAAATAGACCACAATAAATTGCTTCTGGTAACACATCACCACTGCCTTTTGGAATTGAAAATGAGGCAGCACACATGTGGATTCTGCTTGACCAAGCAGTAAAGAACAAATCATCTGTGCAGTCTCAATACCATTGTGATGATGATGAAGATGAGCTTAGTACATGCCTTGTTTTAATTCTCTTTCATTATTTCCCAGTTTCACCAACTGATATTGAAAAGGAATTTTCTTGGTTGGCCAGCTTCCTCACTTAGTTATTTTTATCTTAAGTCGCTCCATCAATTTTCTGAAGTTAATTGTGAAGTTAATTAAATATTTTATTGAGTTAGTGTGCATCTACGTTTTATGTGAGATTTTTTTTTTATTTTTTTTTATAACTGAGTGCTTGGATCAATTTATGCACATATTTCGCAATTGAAGTGCCTCCACATGAACCAATACGAAATTTACTTTACAAATAACTTATTAATTACAAAAGATTTGAATTTCTCTCTGTTATTTGTATGTGAGTACATTTTTGCGCGTGCATGCATGTTGACATTTGTTCAAGTTCCCAATGGATGACTATCCATATGTGCATAACTAGTCATGTCTAGTCTCCCTTTAGAAAAATGTTTTTTTTGCCAATAAATAATAATAAAAAGGGTAAATTATGCAAATGATTCTGTAATTTACACAATATGTTAATTTGGTCTTTGTTATTTTAATTTGTTCAATTTTGCTCCATAATTTAATAAATTGTGTCAATTTAGTCTAATAAATAACAGTTATTAAGTTTGATAAACGGAAAGTTTATACAATGTGTCAATTGGATCCCTGTAGTTTACATATTGTATTAATTTGGTCCATGTTGTTTTAATTTATTCGATTTTAACAGGGTTCAAATTGACACATAATTTGACTTTTTATCCACCAAACTTAACAACTGTTATTTATTGGACTAAAATGACAATCCATTAAATTAAAGGGCAAAATCAAACAAATTTAACAAATAAGAACCAAATTGACACATTGTATAAATTATAAGGACTATTTATATAATTTACCCCAATAAAAAATATACTAGTCATGACAAACGGCATATTTCTTATACCCACTTAAGGGCAGTTGATGGTCTAACACTTTCAATGGTGAATAACGTTATGGTAATCATTAACTAAAGACTTAAACTGATGGCTGGTACTGCAAACTCAAGTAGTTGTTTTTTGACTTGGAGGTTATTGCACTATGGAGATGTCAACTAATGG